TTAACAGATACGATACCCACAAACGTTTTACTGAGTCTACAAAACAAAGTAGTTAGAAAACTTAATAGATTTGTTAGCCCTTAAGCAAAACAAAACAAAACAAAATACAAAAACCGTTAACCTTCCAACCAGACAAAAATGTTAAACTTCATAGATATGGCTCAACAAGGAACAAAACAAGCACTAAGCAATGTCAACGTCATCTTTCTTTCTTTTTTCATGTTCCTCACCCCTCTGCCTCCCCTTTTATTCAAAACAATGGCAACCATTATCCCATTTCCACCTCTCACAACTAAAGCTAAGCAAAAGCACAAGGGAATTTTGCAAGGAGATATATTTAATATGTGCAGCATATTTTAATTTCAGCTATTTAATTTGGGGATTTTAGGAGCTTAGTTTGATTTGCATTGTGTTTATTTAATTTGTGCAGCCTTGGTTTAAAGCTTTGGTTGCCTTTGCGATTGCAAGAGGATTGATTTCATGATTGCTATGAAAGTAATCAAATATAGGAAAAGAAAAAAAAATTGCTTAAACGCGTTTGGTACTTCTGGATTTTGTGTTGAGTATTCCTCTAAATGTTAAATTGTGACTTTTTTTTTGGGTTTAATATTGGAATTTTAGCAGCTTGGTTTTATTTTTATTATGTTCATTTAATTTGTGCAGGCCCTTGTTTAAAGCTTTGGTTCCCTTGACAATTCAAATATGAAGAGTTGTTTCCAGGAACTTATAGTAATTTTACGTATATTATTATAATTTTTAAAAACTATAAATTTTACAAATAATAGAGAAATGACACAAGTCTTAATTGCAATGCTGCATCATTAATTGTTCGCCATCAAAATATCTTTCGTAAACGCTTCAAAAGGATTCACTAGAGCTTCAACATTGCCTCATTTACTATTCACTAAAGCTTCATGTTTTAAGATGAACTCAAAAGACATGGAAAGTGTCACATTGACTTTGTATAATTTTTTGGTGTGTGTATTTTTCTGCTATTTAATGAATTATTATGATTTTTGGAAGAGTGCATCATTAGTGCTTTTGACAAGCGTCATTTCGCGTAGCGCCACGTGTCATTAGAGTTTCATTTTGTGTATGTTTATCTTTAAAAATTCACAAACAATTAATGAAAAATCGAACAAATACATCCTTAATTTCTACAAATTCCATGCGACATTATCTACGATTATGATGTGCGAAAATCAAAATTTGACTTTGGAAAATTTGAATTAATAGTTGGAGGAAGAGTTAAACTTGGTGTGTAGTTAGTATAGAAACAAACTTGAGTTTGAGAAATTATTTGAATTTTTTTATATCTCATAATAAATCTGAAAAATTCACCAAAAAATTACAATGAACTCCTTGTGACATTTCCAACATCTTTTAAGACTTAAAATATAATTTTGACTAAGACAAAAATTCAAATAATTTCACAAAGTCAAATTTGATTCTATACAAACAATAACACTAAGTTGACTAGTTTTCATCACAACAACTCTTCCTCCAATTATTACTTCAAATTTTTCAAAATTGATTTTGATTTTCGAGTATCATAATCGAAGATAATGTCGCAAGGAATTTGTAGAAATTTTCGGTGTATTTTGCTGATTTTTAAATGATTTTTTGGATTATTTTAAGATAAACTCACAAAAATGAAACATTAATGACACGTGACGCTATGAGATACTGACACCTGCTGGAAAAGCTGACAATGTACCCATCAAGGGCTGCCATGTGTCATTCTCTTCCATTTGTTACTATTTTTCAACATTTTGACTTCCAAAAATCATAATATATTTATAATAAATCTGAAAAATTCACTGAAAAATACCAAGGACTCCTTGCGACATTTCAAACATCTTTTGAGACTTAAAATATAATTTTTACTAAGAGAAAAATTCAAATAATTTCACAAAGTCAAGTTTGCTTCCATACTAACAATGATACTAAGTTAAAGATCACTAGTCTTCATCACTACAACTCTTCCTCCAATTCTTACTTCAAATTTCGCCTAGTCAAATTTCAATTTTTGAGTATCATAGTCGAAGATAATGTTGCAAGGAATTTGTAGAAATTTTCAGTGTATTTTTCTGATTTTTTAATTATTTTTTGGGAATTTTTTAAGATAAACTTACAAAAATGAAACATGAATGACACATGGAGCTATGAGATACTGACAGACGCTGGAAAAGCTGACTACGCACCCATCAGGCGTTGCCATGTGTCATTATCTTCAATTTATTACTATTTTCCAATATTTTGACTTCCAAAAATTATAATAAATTCATAATAAATCTGAAAAATACCCCGGACTCCTTGCGACATTTCCAACATCTTTTGAGACTTAAGATATAATTTTTACTAAGAGAAAAATTCAAATAATTTCACAAAGTCAAGTTTGCTTCCATACTAACAATAACACTAAGTTAAAGATCACTAGTCTTCATCACTACAACCCTTCCTCCAATTATTAATTCAAATTTCCCCTAGTCAAATTTCGATTTTTGAGTATCAGAGTCGAAGATAATTTCGCAAGGAATTTGTAGAAATTTTCGGTGTATTTTTGTGAATTTTTAATTATTTTTTGTGAATTTTTTAAGATAAACTCACAAAAATTAAACATAAATGACACATGGAGCTATGAGATACTGACACCCGCTGGAAAAGCTGACTACGCACCCATCAGGTGCTGCCATGTGTCATTATCTTCAATTTATTACTATTTTCCAATATTTTGACTTCCAAAAATCATAATAAATTCA